CTGCCCCGCCTGCGGCCGAAGGGGCGAGGGGGCCCTGGGTGTTTGAGCCTGCTTCGGCTCGGGGCGAGGCCGATACTCGCGTTTCTTCCTCTTCGGAGTGTAGGAAACACGATGGAGCTCGCCTGTGGTGCTACCTCTGCCCAGTAGGCTCAGCGTAAGTGCGTGAAAACCACAGTTGTAACTCCTGTTGTCCTCGCTAAGGAAAGGCAGAGGAAGCAAAGAAGAATTTATTTTAGACAGGCGGTTTTAATATTAAACAGCTACATTAGAAAAATGTTTTGGTGAGTCCGTTTTCAGGTAAAACAAGTAAAAATTTAATTTGTGTCTGCTTAGGCACAGTTCACCTACAGATGGCATTCATTCATAGTTAAATTTCAAACTTGGGCGTGTTCGTTTATTTAAAAATAGAAAATAAAGTTGTTTGGGAAGATGTCCTGCATCCATTTTCTGTGCTCTCAGGTTTTTCAAAGGAGATGTTTTGTTAAAACAGTAAGCGCTGAGGCCTGTTAAACACTCATTCAGGCAACCCTTCCACCAGTTACTCCTCCCTGTCACCAGTTTCTCTCTGCTTCTCAGTAGCTGTTTTTTGTTTGGTGAGTTTGTGGTGGAGTTTTCTGCCAGTCTTTAAATAGGATTTTGTGGGTTGGGGTTTTTCCTCTGTGGTGGCCCTGTCACTGAGAATTTTTACAGGTACCAGCCTTAAAACAACACTGTTTATATTCGGTACCCCAATCCAAGATTTAGAGAAAAAACTTTAAAAGTTAAAGCAAAGTAATGCCTATTTATTTTCCTCTAATCTTACATTTAATTATATTTTAAGTTAGATGTGCTTTATCTTTAATTACAAACATTGAAGAGAGTCATTCTAGTGAATGCTACGTTGTTTGCTTCTTTCAAACATTTTGCATGCTCCCACTAGACTTGTGAAGTTGGTGTTGCTTCCTAATGGCTCTTTAGGGTGAACTACTTCCGTACTGAAGTTAGTAAGCACTGTGCACTAGTCTTGCAAGATACATATTTATTTCTAACTAGAGAAACAGCTTCTGCACCAGAGTATGTATGAAAATAAGCTTAACTCCCTCTTTAAGTAAGATGCTGTCTTGAGGTGCTTGTGGCTTGCTGCTGCCAAAAGCGAGGGGCTTTGCTCTGTGACATCCTCCCTTGGATGAGTTTTGTGAGATCTCTCCATACATCAGTTGAGTGTACTGAAACAGCAGAAAAATATTGTTGGTCTGGGTTTTTTTGGTGTGGGTTTTGTTTTATATTTTTTTTTCTCCCGGATTTGTTTTCTTCCATTTTAGTTAGGAGCAGGAGCCACTGGGATGGAAGTGGGGACTGGCACTCCACCCTTCAGGCAGCAGTTTGTTCACTTCCCTGTGTTTTGTGTAACCAAGCCAGTGACTTCTCTAGGCCTACTCACTGTTTCTTAAAATTACATTTTTTTTCTGAAACGTAGGTAGTTACATCACCCTTCTTCCTCTTTCCCCTGTATTGCCTTATCCTCCTTTGTTATGGAGCACATGGTGTATCATTGTCTGCGTAGGAAAATGTTAGTATGTGACTTTTTGATGGAGGAACATATAAAGCTGTTACAAGCACATGGCGTGGTGATGTACATTTGGATGATATGTAAAACCTACCACTACGGGAGAAGAATGCACGTTAGTTCTCGAGGTTCAGCTGAAACACCGTGTTGTGTAGCTCTAGGTCACTCTTAGGGCATTACAATATTAAAGATATGTCCAGATTTTACATGATCAAGCGTTAACTCAGACATCTTCCCTTGAGGATTGCCCTTGAGCTTATCAGTAATCCAAACCTCAACAACTTGGAGCAACTGTACTCCCCTGAGAAAAAACCATGAAAGTTGTGCTCTGAGCAAGCGTGCAGTGCTTCTTGTTTGTTGCACGAGAAGGAATGGAGAACTGTTTTGGATTATTAGTTTGTTGCTTGCTTACTTCTGTGTCTGATGAACCAATTTGATAACTCCTAGATGCTCTTACTTTTATGTTGTCAGATCCCTATTACGACCTCTTAGGTTGTGATACAGCTCGGTGTCATGGTGTAGAGAGAAATTGGTTCTCTGTGGTCTATGTGAACTCTAAAAATAGGGGTAGGAAGGGAATGGAGAACTTGGTTATATAACAAAAAAGGCTTTTTACACATCTTTTTCCTTTCAGCATCTCCAGAGGAAAGATCGTTTTGTGTAGAAATAAGTGATTTCCAGAGGACAGCCCCAATGACAGAACTGTCTGCACATTTACCCCAGTTTCAGCACGGGCAGCTGACAGAAAACTTCCCCGATAACCACCTCAGCAACACCGTATGTAACAGTTCTATTACCTGGTAGCAGTTAAGTCGGGATGAATGGTGGGTGTGGATGAAAATACAGTTCAGAACTCTAGAAATCTGTTTGTTGGGAGTAGTTTTCTCTATCTGGACTGTTGTGGTGATAAGCCAAAAGAAATAATCTGTAAAGTAGCTGATATTCCAAATTCAATTTTATATGCAGATAAGACTTCTCCCAGTGTAAAGTGGTGTTGGAGTGACCAAACCCTCAAGAAAAATAAGAAAATGGGGTGGGATGCTCCCATGCCAAACATTGACCCCTTAGAGTCAGTGTTTAGAGATTTAGCTTCCTTGAGCTAACCTGGCTGTGGTCTGCTTGCTTCACAGGTTTCTCAGTCACAGAGTTAACTTTAGTCCAGGTAGAGCTTGAAGCCTTGGTTTTGTTGTTGCTGTTGGCACTGTCTTACTTGTGAATAATTGTCAAGGTGCTCTCTTGAGGTTTTGGGCGAGAGGAAGAAATCGAACCACAAAACTGTGGATGATTGCTTTGAAAGGCCTTAAGCGCGTAATTGTTGCTACAACTGTGCTCATTGTACTGCTTGGGTTTTGGTAAAACCGGGTTTTAATGGCCTACTGGGGTGTGGTGCTCAGGCTCTTGGATTTGCCATGCTCAGTTCTTTGTTCCTGCTGTAGCTCTTGAAGATCGGGTTTCCTTATGATACAGAAATGCTCACGTGAGGCTGGGCCACTTGAAGCCATGTTTATGGAAGTGATTAAAGAAAATGTTTTGATCCCTGCTCTAATTCTATACAATCCAGTGGTTTAAGTAGAATTTTGGAAAAAACAACTTATCTTAGATCAGCATCCTGATTTGAAAATTTATTTTTAAATTAAGAAGTCAGTCTGACTTAAGACCTTACTGATTATAAAAATTGTTAATAAAAATAGGAAAGTGGAAGCTTTCCTACTGCATCCTTTATGCTTTTCCTTCAGAGGGAATGAAAAAGGTTTCTTTTCATCTTGTGCAGGTGAGAGATTAACTTTTATTAAACAGCTCTGCCAGATTAAGAAGGCAGAGCGCAGTGATAAGATGTGGGCTCACCATCCCTTCGGGTAACTTGGTGATGCTCCTTCCCGGCAGTGGGTGACGGATGGTTCTGTTTACTTCTCACTGACAGGCTCTACCGATGAATGACTACTGCTCGTGCGTTTTCTTTCCGTGTTTAAGTCTAACTCCTGGTGTCATTTCAATATTTAGTTGTAATGATTCTTCTCCCCTACGCGCATCTGCTTTGGTTTTCTACATGTGTACAAAATTCCTTTCCTACTTCAGTGTGTCTGGCTTCTGTGGCTGACAGTCAGCCTGTGAAACCACTCAGCACCTGCAGTCTCTTCTCCCAGTCACGCCCCAGGGGTTCACCCCAGTCTTCACTGTCACTCTCTAACGACCTTTAAACATCATTGGTGTATGTGAGAGCTGACGAAGTCTGTGCCACTGTCAAGCAAGGGGATCTGCTCCTGATGTATAAATCTGGATTTAATAACTCAAACCTTTTTATCAAATATGCTGGTTTTTATCTCCATTCAGGAGCATTGCTCTGGGTTTGCTATTAACTATTTTCCTGATAGGAAAAACCACCACCCTATCATTTGCTTTTGATATTGTTTATTCTCCTGAAAGCGGGTAGTTCGTAACTTACGTTTGCTTACGGTGTTACAACAGGTGTTACTGACTTTTTAGCTTCAGAATTTTCACTTTTAACTATGTCTGAGGAAAGTGAAGAGTCTGTTCCTTTGCTTCCACTTCAGCAAGAGTCCGTGGCCTCTGCTCTGTTTAATACTGATCAGGTAGGATACGAGTGCACTTTGTTCTTTTAAGCAGCGGGGTACGCGCATGTCACGTTTAGCTACACTTCACTAGCCTAAAAGGACAGCTTTTTTTCTCATTTTAACAGCGAATGAGAGTAACTCTTGGCTCTCTTGATGCTGATCTGGTTTTTGTGCAGTGTGTTTTAATATGTAAAGGCATTTTGTGATTGTGCCTTTGTTCCTAACTCATGGAGGGACTAGAATGGCACATTGGTCTAGTTTCTTCTATTTTCCTCTTTATGTTTGATTTTGCGTTTTTTTTTGAGCGATGTGCTAGTTAATCAGGCTTTTCCTTTTGCTGTTTTGTGTTTGCTTTGCAAGGCTGCAGATTTTTATTTTACTTCTTACATTTCTGTGCCAAAGACAGGGGTAAGTGCTCCCTCGTGCTGTCAGAGCAGAGAAAGAGCAACATACTCTGCAAGTGTTCTGAAACCTAAATACCAGGTCTGCTTTAGTTGTGAGGTGTTCCAAGGCTCTGATCATCTCCAGTGTAGCGTGACTTACTGATGGTCATCTTAGGCAGTTTATGTAGAAAGGTAAACTTATTGTTGTCTTGTTGGAGACTGAGAGAAATAAAGAATTTTCACTATCAAGTGAAAAATGTTATATATAGAAAAAGGTTAAGTTGCAGCCAATTAAATACTTAAACATAATCTCTTTATTTGCATTCTCCCAATCTCTTTATTTGTATTCTCCCATATTCCTGTTTCTATTTGACTTTCAGTAAGGACTTTATGCAAAATGCCAAGTGGTTTATAATGAATCATTTAGTAAGAAATAATATTGAACCCAAAAGCTTTATCAGGGCATACTTTAAGTTAGTGATACTAAACTCAAATTAAGGTTAAAACCTTAATTCTAAAAATCTGGTGATCTGCTTTTTTTAATTGCTTAATTAAGACATTTTTCCTTTCTATATTCCTCATACTCAGTTTCCTTATTGAAAAATAAAGCAAATTTTTTGGAGGGCAGTTCTTGAAACCCTGAGGAACTTGATCCTGAGGATACGACAAAAAAGGAATAAATGGGCAAAGCATTTGATGTGTATTGTTACTTTGTAATGTTTTGTAAAAGCAAATTTTTCACGAGTTCGGGAAGTTGTAGAGCTTCAGCTAAGGTTTTAGCAGTGTCAGTGTTTGCAGTTCAAAGTCCAGGGACTTGTACTCCTAATCACTTCCAGTGCTTTTGAAAAGCCCATGGTGCGGGGTTCCCGCGTGTGTGCTTAACATCGTATCTTATTCTGAGGGTGGGGCTGGGAAAATTCCGTACAAAGAATCTCCAAAATTGCACTTGATTTACCAAAAAACTGCAGTGAGTCGATGAGAAATGTTTGGAAATGCTCTTAAGAACAGGTAATGAGGCTTTAATGCTGCATGTTTAAGGAAAAAATTATCTGTGTAAGAGTACTTAAGCAGAAATACATTAGGTTATTCTCAATGCCCTATCTTATGTCTAGAGCAATCTGAGTGATACTTAAAAGTTATCTTCCTTCAGTTTGTTGTACGTTTTAATCTAAAGCAGCTTGAGTGCACTTTCTCAAACTGAACTGTTTATAAATGAAGTAATTCTGAAGAAATGAGATTTATTTTGTATGTAAGGAATCAAAAATATTTGTGTTGCATCTCTTAATGTTAAACCTCTTGAGTGGAGGGAGTGGGAACAGTACAGCATTGTCTTTGGACATGTAATACAGTAAAAAAAAAAAAAAGTAGGTTATATAAACTGTTGCATTTTAGGGCTTGTTTAGAGTGACTGGTAAACATAAAATGGTTTTGTTTCTTTTTTGCAATGTAGAACAAATGAAACATAGAATCACAGACTGGTTTGGGTTGGAAAGGCCCTTCAAGACCATCTAGTTCCAACCCCCCTGACATGGTCAGGAATACCTTCCACTAGACCAGGTTGCTCAAAGCCTCATCCAGCCTGGCCTTGGGCACTCCCAGGGATGGGGCATCCACAGCTTCTCTGGGCAACCTGTGCCAGTGCCTCACCACCCTCTCTGTGAAGAACTTCTTCCTGATATCCAATCTAAATCTCCTCACTTTCAATTTAAACCTGTTACCCCTTGTCCTGTCACTACAGGCCCTTGTAAAACGTCCCCCCTCCCCAGCATAGAGTAGGTCACTTTCCTGTTGTGTTCTCTGCGTGTGCACCCAACGTAGGAAAGGCTGAATGCTCCTTGCTGCCGGGGCTATTCGGAGAGGGGGCAGCAGGTTTGTGACAACAGGAGGGGTGCAGGCCTGATCATTTACTTGTAGGTGCTGTTCCTAGTTTGTGTTTTTGCTTGTGGTTAATCTTAATTCCTTTGAAAGTTTACCCTGTCCTTGAGTTTGAATTACACCCTGGCTGTTTCATGTAACAGTATGAGGAAGGCTGGGAGGCTCTTCCGTATTTGTTGACAAGGGTGGTAGAATTCCTTCAGGGTCAGGGAAAAGGGTTGCAGTAATGTCCTTGGGAAAGGAGGGAGAATCTGCATGCTTAGCTCATCACTCTAAAACTTTGGGGTCAAGTCTCAGTATAAAAACTGAGAATTACCTGAGTTTGATCACCGTTCCTGTGTCATCCTTTTTGCTAAAAATGTGTGAACACACTACCTCATGGAACTCAATATGAATATATATTCTAGTTAGTATACTGTAGTCAGAGTAACACTGAAAGTATAAATTTTCTTGGGATTCCCATGGAGTTAGGTTCATGAATGTCTATTTGGCATTATTTCTAGGAACAGATACAGTTTATTCTTGTCAAGCTGTGAGTAATCTACTGTCATGCACCCTTGTAGCAGCTGTGGTTTGGACCAAGGGAAAAACTGTCTTTATTCAGCTTTTAAAATTCTGTTTAAGGGTGATGTGGGCTGTTAGATGCAACCAGCCCTACGTTCAGCTGCTGCTGGTTTTAATATAAATGCTTCTAACATAACCCTGTGCTCCCATTCTTTTGATAAATATGTGATGCAGTTAATTACTACTGTTTAAGTCATTGCTGCAGCCAGTGTTCTCAACAGCAAATATTATCTTACACATTTCCCCCTCAAGATCTTCTTTAGCTTAATGTAGGAGAATATGAGCGTGGGTATTTGCTGAGGGAACATTTTTTAACATATTACAGAATGACAACAGCGTAAGGCGTCGCCATGATAACAGTGAGCGCAGAAGAAATGACAATCCCGAGTCTGAGACCAATGGGCAGCCACAGAACAACATTCAGCAAGTGGTGGAACAAGACGAAGAAGAAGATGAGGAGCTGACGCTGAAATATGGGGCGAAACATGTGATTATGTTGTTTGTACCTGTCACACTTTGCATGGTGGTCGTTGTTGCAACCATCAAGTCTGTCAGCTTTTATACACGCAAGGATGGACAACTGTATGTATTCGTTTTTTCCCCCCCTATCGTTTCAGTGGACTCAGATAATTTTATTTAACCTCCATTTCTTCAGGACTCTGAACTCCCTCTTGCCTCCCTTTTACTCTCCACCTGCCCAAAGATAATGTGTTTTATTCTTTCCAGAAACCAGACTCGGTGTTTGCAGTACTGTTGACATTTGTCAGCCAGTTGGATTAATACCTTGGTTGTTACTGCTTGATTCAAATCCTAGTCCTCATTTTAATACTTTGTTGTGCCCTGTGGTATTTATAAAATAAACTCAATCCTGAGCCAAAGCCATTTCAGTTGTACTCTGCTGGAATACAAAGATTTTGGAGAAGTTAAAAAACTATTCATTTAAATTAAGTGACATACATGCCAATTTCTGGTTTGCCTATGCTGTTTGATAAAGACATTCAAATGCAAGAGGAAGATAGCTTTATAAGGTTCACTTCTGTTGCAGTTACAGAAACTTCCCTGGCATGTTTCCTCTATAGATTTTTTTCTTTTTTTCTGGCAAAATATTAATGTTGCCAAAAAAAAAAAAAGGCAGTTTCAGTGAAAGCTGAGCTGAGAGAAAGTGGGCAAATAAAGAACACCGAACTTGTCTGAACCTGCAGCAAATCAGTCTAAATGTTCCGCTGCAAAAACGTTTAGACAAAATGATTCAAAGTGTGTTTGGCTTTGAAATGTTTGTACACTATAAGCTTGTCACTAAATGTTTCAGTAAAACACAGAGTTCTTTTTACTCTCAGAGTTGTTGATCAAAGAATCCTTTTTCTTGAGATTTTATTTATGCTGTTTTCTCAGCCCCTTCCCCAGAGTGAAGTAGTTTTTTTTTCCCCCAGGTCATTGTATTTGTTTAAGAAAGAGGCAATAGTGCCCATACGTTGTTTTGCTGCAGTCCCTGGGGAACCTTTCCTTGCAAATCTGCTAGAAGCTCTGCCTATAAAGGTCTTCCTGCAGCAATAGTCTGATGATTCTGAGCATGTGAATAATGGTATCAAACAATGTGGAGCTCTACTTTTTGTTTGTTTTACAAAGTGGAAGAAAGTAGTACTCGAAGAATATAGGAAAGGCAAGTCTTCTGAGGCAAAAAGTATTACTTCTTTTTAACTCAGTTTGCCCTGTGTGATACTCTGCTGCCTTCCAAATTTTGCCAAAGTAGAAAATAACTGTTGCTTGTACTGCTCTGAATTGAAAGATCGCTGCAGTTTCATTTGACATTGGCCTCGTGTGTCGGAAACATCTGCGCATTCAGTGGCGTTTCAGTTGACTCTTTGTTGTTTTAGCATCTACACTCCCTTCACAGAAGAGACGGAGACGGTAGGACAGAGAGCCCTGAATTCAATTCTCAATGCCGCCATCATGATCAGCGTTATCATTGTTATGACCATACTCCTGGTTGTGCTTTACAAATACAGGTGCTACAAGGTGAGTATGAATATAATTGAGTAATTGTGCTAGTTTTATTTATTAGTACAGATCATTGAGAATGGAACAAAATGAAGGGTTGTCAAGGATGAGTGAGCAAAAGTAGAACAACTGGTGATTCAATTCACTGGGTCAATATTCCGTTGACACAACGGTGGGGCAAAGGCCCAGTGCTGACACTGCTGGCTGCTTTGTCAGAATTAGGATGGCATTGCTTCCTATTCCTGTGAAATGTGCCATGTACTGAAATGTTCCTGTGGCCAAGAACTATGAAGTACAGACCTGGTCCTACAATTAGAAAGCTATTTGGGACTTCAGGGGCTTTTCAAGGGCTCCCCTCTCCCCACTTTACCCCTAGTATAGAATTTCCTGACACGGTGCCTGGCTGTACACGCCAGGCAATAGCCTTACAGCAAACACATGGATTCTAAGGCTCTTTTGTGAAAGACTTCAATAATAAAATGATGTAATCTATGCAGGTCCAGGCTTGGCATAAATAATTGCAATGTCACCTGCCTGGGAGGAGTTTTTTTGTGAAAATTCCTGGTTGTCTTTTAGTCTTAAGTACTCATTTGACAAGCCTTGGGAAAATAAACCTTCCCAATGTGCAACCAAAACCTTAAATCTGTTTCATAGTTGTAAAGCAGGCTGTGGGATCCGTGCAGTGGCACAAAGCTTTGCTCCACTTTATTCTGTTTTCAAGAGGAAAAAATGTTTTTGATCTTGATGGCTGTGGGTGAAACTCCTTTACAAGGGATCTATGGAGTGACTGGGAAAGTGATTTCTGCCTGAATCTGCATACAGCTTGGAATAGTGGGTTTTCTTTTAAAGTACGGATCTTCTCTTTTATCACAGTGTGATGTTAAATCTGAACTGACAAAGTTTTCTTTTTAAACTGTCAATTCTGTTCATTCTAACAAAGTCAAATAAGCGATGTACTTCAGTTAGCTTCCTTGGCAGCCAGTCAGTTCTCCTCGGGTGCTGAAGGCCTCAGCTAGTTTTTACTCAGCTTTTCACATTTCTGGCTTCCCTCATGACCTTACAAAGCACTGCATGTTCTCCTTACAAAAATAATCGTACTGAAAAATTAGAGTGATGAGACGACAGAAATTTCCTGTAGTTATGTTTTATGCTAATTAAAAGAAATAATTAATTTAGGTTGTTTCTAGAATTGATAACAGAATATTTCTATGCTGCTATACCAGAATGCTGTGAAATGTAGTTAGCTGTCCATTGAATTCTATTTTACGTGTAGTTCTGCATGTAAAATCTAGTCCAGATTATGGGGAATGGAATTTACAATGAAAGAATGTTGGGCCTCCAACTGGTAGTGATAATTTGCTTATCTTCACAAGATTTTTGTCTGAAAACTCCTTTGAAGAAATGAAATACTATTTCAGCTTTACTGTTGTTAGCTTCCTATGCTTCTCCTGTACCTGTTAAGCATGGTCCTGATTCTAGCTCCTGAATCTAAGCAGAAGCAGCATCTTCAAAGGTGATTCTATTTGCTGTTTCTTTTCAAAGTATTTTATTGTTCTGTGTTCTTCATTGTTTCAGTTTGCCTAACCAAAACCTGGCTGCTGTAGCTCATTTTAGTTCTCTGCATTCTGCAATCCTTAGCTTTCATTCAAGTTGTAGCAGGCAAAGCCAACTGTACTAGCGATCAGTTAACGTTGAAGCTGATGTCAGATGAAGAATGAAAATTAGGAGGCAACAAACCTGTCAGGGTACGCTGCTAGGAAAATGCTGGCCAAAATTTACAGGGAACACTTCAGAAAAGTCGCTTGTATGAAAAGAAGCCTGTGATTTGGAAAATGCTGTAGTGAATGACAAGTACTGTGAGCATAAAACAAACATCTGTGTGTAAAATGCCAACTGATGTCAACCCTCAAAACCACCTCCTCTAGCATTGTTGACAGTAGTTACGCAGAGTGGGGGCAAACATTTGCTGGATTATGGCCTGGCTGTTTGACATTGTTAGCATTTTACTCTTTCCTAGAATGAAATGTTAGTTTTCATATTATTTTCTTAATTGGTAAGAAAGTTTAAGAGCTGCTACTACAAATAGAAGAACTACAGATAGAAGTCATCTTGTTATTAAAAGAAATGACACAGCTTTCTTTTGCCATTTCCTTAAAATGGTTTCAACTAGTTTTACAGAGAAATAAAATTCCTCTGCTAGGTCACTACTTAGATATGTAGGTAGCTTGACAAGTTGCTTGGAAGTTGGGTTCTGTTTCAGGTACTTATCAATCTTCAGCTTTAGCCCCCCACTTGCTCTGAGTGGTGACAGTTTGATGACTGAGTTTTGCTGCAGTATCTTCACAGGCATCGTGCTTATTATATGTGGGAAATCCTTAAATCTTTTTGAGAACACACCAGAAAATATGGAAAGCAAATCTGTTAGACCAGCAAGTTAAAGGACAGGTTTTATTAGGTTGAAGGTTGTGAAGGAGGAGAAAGACTTTTTCAGAAATTGCTGAGAATTTTTAAAATGCTTATGGAAAATTTAGTATTAGACTAAATGTACTAAATCACTAACTGTACTAACTGGATTCTTAATTTGCTGGATATTTGTGGTTGCATCCCGTAAACATGGTTCTTTTAGTTTGTGTGTGTATGGGCTTGATGTTTACATTAATTTTTGCAAAATATTAAAAAACAGTAACTTTAGATGCATTCTACTATAACACAATTTTTAGACAGTTTCAGAATACTTTAGTCTGTGTTCATACATAGCTAATTAACCTGCTGATTTTGCCCTGAGCATGTCTATTTGAAGCAGGATTTCTTATGCAGCTTGAATTTGTAGATTATTGCATCTGACTGGTTATCTACTTGCAATGTTGGATCTGGTTTTGCAGATAAGATTCTGTGCTGGGATTTTGACAAATATATATGTTTCATTCGCAGTTCAGAGATTACCAAATTTACAGGGGTCCTCAATCTTAATTTTAATTTTGCACAGTAATATATGAGTGGCATGCAATTCTGTCAGTGCAAAGTCCGAGCGCCTGTTGTTTCCAAGTTTAACTATGTGTGTCCCTGCTGAGTACAACCCTGAACTGCTGGGGTTTTTTTAAATTGTTGGGTGTGTGTATCTGCTGCCAGATCAAAATTAGGGATTATTTGTATAGGTGATTGATAGAGACTCTATAAATCCTTAGATGGTCATTCGTCAATGACATGCTAATTCTGAATTCCAGCAGATAAGCACTGAAGGTTTTTCTGTGTTCGAGCATTTAATTCTGTAACTGTATTCTGAAAATGATTTGGAATCCGATCAGGCTTTTTAATTGCAGAAAAATGAATCATGTTTTCCATCTGTGTAATGCTGGATACTTCTGCTATGTTATGATGCCACTGTTATCAAAAGGGCCTAAAAATACACAAACAGTAGTTTTCATTGAATGGAACTTCTATTGAAAGACCATAAAGCATTTAAAATTCATAAGTGTAATTTAAAGTACAATAATGTGTGTAAACTAAATATGAATTAAGCAACAACCGATGAGAAAGATCTGAGTATCATTTTCTTGCTTAAATGAGAAGGAAAATAACCTTAAAATCAGTTTTAAGTAGATACTAAATTTAAAATAGCAAGGGGAAAAAAAATCTGAGAAAAGTCTGTATTGATACCTTTGGGTTTTTTCCCCCAGGTGATCCATGGCTGGCTTATCATTTCTTCTCTCTTGCTGCTTTTCTTTTTCTCATTCATCTACCTGGGGTAAGTGAACTGAAGCAGCAGTATGCTATTTTTCATGTATCGCTGCGTGTATGTATTTATTTTAGAACTAGTCCTTGTATCTTAAAGAAGAATGATAGTAAGCTATTGCAATATTTTTTTTTTGTTTCATATAGTTTCATAGAGTACACATAGAAGAGATACATTTGTGGGTTTATAATGCGTTTGATATTGTGCAGGAGCTGTCCATCACGTGCATCACCAGAATAAGCTATCTTCCATAGACTAACTTATTCTGTCAGTATATCTTCTGATAACTTAATATTTCATAGCCATATGACTCAAGGGCAGCTGTTTACATCATGGCTTTGGTGGTGGTCTGTATATGCAAAGGCTGTTTGTGTGGGAATGGCTGAAAAGAATCGGCTCTTCCACCAAAATATATTCAGTGTTTTTCTTTTCAATTTTGGAAGCATGTCTTTATCCAAACATCAAGAAAAGTTGTACATAATACTCAGTATTCTCTAAAATGAGCAGCCTGAGCAGGGTTTGTAACTAGAGATACGCCATGAAATTATTATAGTGTGTATATTTTGGTACCACTTAATGACAGATACGCTTCTCTGAAGAAGCAGCTTATTTAATTTGGTCTGTAGGGGGAGAAAATGTCACTAATTTCTGCAAAAGCAATCTGTGATGCCTTTTTTAGTCAGTATTTTCTCCAACCTTAATCAAAGCTTTTGAAATACAAGGCAACGCATGCTGCTCGAGTGCTCTGCAGGCTGTGGAGAAACAAGTTGCCAGGTTCACGTCTTCTGGGTTTGGGTTGGAGCTGGCACTCTTCCATGAGCACGTGTGAGTAGAGGGACTGAAGTCTCTCTTGACACTCGACTCTCCTGACTCTCAGCTGTCCTTTGCCTGTGCCTGCTGCCTCACAGCAGTGCTGACTTCCATTTGTACGGGTCCAGTGAAGAGGGAGTTTGTAGACCAATTATATGTGACTGCTAACACTGTACACCTCGAAGGTCAGCTGACCTTTAGGGAAGACTAGTTTCCTGGAGGAAAATATCATGTAAATTACAAGGTTCTTAGTGGCTTGGTGAGTTGGTGGCGGCAGAATCTGCAAACAGCCATTTCTCCCTGGGGTACTGTAAATCATCTGGAACTTGGTGACAACATATTTGTTTATTCTAGTGTATTAGCTATTGAGGGTCTTAATTAGTTTATAGTATTTAGTGTGACAAAGTGGCATGGTTCATCCAAAAAGAAAGCTTTTTACTTTAATTTTGTAGTGAAGAATAAAATAGAATAACCATGTATATCTTACTTTGAAGTTAGCAAAGTGTTTCCATCCCACAGGCGGCAGGTAAGTAGAAAGGGATCTGTTTGCATGCCTTTTAAGAGCTGTTATAACCTCACAGATAAGTTCTTAGTTTTTAAAAAAATCATAAGCATAAGCCAACTGGCTGATTTTGCACTGATGTCCTTTCTTCCAATTTCTGCTTTGACTGAGGAGCTAGAACATCAATGAAAATTTTCTGAAAGGTGAAAGAGTTGGTGTGGAGCCAACACTGGTAAAATTATCCCCTTTGTGAAGAATAGTTCAGTACTAATTGGAGATAGAATTGTACATTTGTGCTGCTACATTGAATATGGAAATGACAAAAAAAAAATCTATTCTGAAGCTTGCCTCTGTAAATTTTCTGTTGTTTTTAGCAAATGAAGTCCATATTCTTTTCAATTTTATGTTTTTTAGAGAGGTTTTTAAGACCTATAACGTTTCCATGGACTACATTACAGTGGCCCTCATGATCTGGAACTTTGGTGTTGTGGGAATGATTTGTATTCACTGGAAAGGTCCGCTTCGGCTCCAGCAGGCGTATCTCATTATGATAAGCGCTCTCATGGCCTTGGTGTTCATTAAGTACCTTCCTGAATGGACTGCGTGGCTTATCCTGGCTGTCATTTCAGTGTACGGTAAGGTCTGGGGCAAGGCATAGTGACAGATATTATGGTGGGAATTTCTTCTGTTCTCATTTTTTGTATGCCTGACTAGACCTTAAAAAAAGATAATTAAAAAATGTGTGTGGGGTATTATCCAAAGTAGTGGATAAGACTGTGTGTTTACAGACTTCAGAAATAAGATCGTAAGGACTGATCTAAACCAAAATCAGTGCCCTGCATCTAAGTCCTTGATGGGACTGTGATGCCATCTTCCTTCATTTTCTAGACTCTCTAGATCCTTTGAGGAGGAGAATTAAAGTAATTCAAGAGGGGAGGAGATAAGAGACCTATGTTGCCATTTTGATCTCTTTTATGAAGGTGGAGAGCTTTTGAGTTCTCATTTTCCTCAGGAATCTTTAGAAGCTATTGTATGTTCAGAATTTAGGATCTTGTTTGGGTGCAGTCCCATACCCATGCAGATCTGCCCAGTTTATGAATTGCTGACCTTTGTGGACATAGAAACTGCACCCTGGTGCATGTCTAATAATATAATGAGGAGGAAGCAAGGAAGGATTAAAGGCAGTTTTCATTGCTCAAACTAATTTTACATTGAGAAGGTATAGTTGTAAGATCTGTTTCCTTGATTTTTTTTTTAAATAAAAATAAAATCATTTGAATTATTGCATATTATGCTTTTTCAGAATGACTGAGATACCTAGATGTAGTTTTTTCTTAAAGCTTTAGGGGGCACTGGACACTTTTGGTAAGAAGATCATGCTACGTCCCAGATACTGATTTACCTCCCAGGAAAGACTAAAATCTAGTTACTCAGACATAATTAAAACTTCACAGCTAAGAGTATGCATGAAGATGTGCTCATAACTTGAGTTTTCTTGGAAGCATGTAGGTGTGATGAGTGTGTACTCTGAAAGCCACTGATAACTATAAAGACTGACAACCTGTCCAGTTTAGAAGGGCAGGCGTCAGTAAAATGTGATTATACTCCTTAGGTGTCCTTTTCTTTCAGAGGGAGGAAAAATGTCCCTTGTGTGTATGTTCATGGATCTTAAAACCTTCCCATACCCCCGCTCCCCACTTCTACCCTTTGTATGACTGGAACAAATCTGAGTATTTCAAGCATTCAGCCTTCATACCTTTGGTGATTACCAAATGGAATTATTCTTTAGGTCATATTCCAAGACCATAATTTGGTTGGTTGGAGTAAAGAGGAGGTAAGTTTCTAAGCCCCTTGACCCCATGCTAAAAATTCTTTACTCAAAGGACCAGCTAGAATGGTTAGCTCAGGTGCAGGACTACTCTGTGCAACATACAGTTCCTGACAAGTAAGCTGTTCCTTTCTGTGGCAGATTTTGATTCGAGTGAATTTAAAGACATGAAGTGAGTGGACAACTGTGAAAGATAGTAGTGAGGTTAATATGTAAATGGCACAGCTTTCTGTCCAAATACGCAAGATAAGGGAAAAGTAGCAGAGGTTGGTTGGTTGTGGGGTTCCAAATTTCTTTAACAAACCGTTAACATTCAGGTAAGAAAGCAAATGGAGCATCTGACAGATCAGTTTTTCTTCATGCCGTGCTTTGACTTCTATGAGTAACTTATACAGTCTTCCTGCTTTGTAAATGCTTGCTTTTCAGTTAATTTTTACTTGTTCACAGAGTTTCATATACTGTCCCATGAACAAGAATCAAGGGAAGCAACAAAAAGCTGCTGTGGTTTTTTTTTTCTTATGCTAAATATACTTCGAACACCTCTCAAATCTATGCAAACACAGCATGTTTCTGCAATGCTTAATAAACCTGTTTTCTTTTTTCTCTTCACCTGCACATTCACTTTTTTTTCTCTTTAAGTGAGAATAAATTGGCATTCATGCCTACTTCATGGAAGTTATGTATGCCTCTCCTGTGATCTTAAAATCACAGGTTTTAGCATCAAACTTGGGTTAAGAAAAGCTTTGATAATAGAAAGCAAGCTTGGGTATTTCCAAGATGTTATTGGGATAGTGGCTTCCGTGAATTATTTGCTTTCAACTTGCAGATCAACATACAGGCACAGATGCATTTGCAGTTGTGTAATATCTTAAGTGAGGAACATCACATTTTTTAAACTTTGTATCCATATTACTGTAATATGTAAAATAGGTTGTACAACTGTGAATATTAAAAAGCATTCCTGTAGGATACTGACTTGTGACCAATGACTCTCTCTGTTCAGGGTAGCATTTTATCTTTTTACCAGTCTCTGCTAGTGTTATAGAAACACTATACGTACACGTACTTCTTTGAAGTACGCCTGCAGTGATGCAAGATCTGTTTGTTCTTCCTTCCAGATTTGATTGCTGTCCTGTGTCCTAAAGGTCCTCTTCGTATGCTTGTTGAAACAGCTCAAGAGAGAAATGAAACTCTCTTCCCAGCACTTATTTACTCCTGTAAGTATATTTCATTAAATATTTAAATACTAACAACCACCCACTCTGCTGAAGTGATTATTCTCATTTATCTCTGTTTTAACGTGATGCTCGTCAGCTGGAATTCTTAGCCTGTTTACTTGGGTCTCGGTTTTCCTTTTGCTGTTGACTCAAAAATGTGGAACATCATCTGGCTAAGATCTTTCAAGATAAAACCCAGCATGTTTTCTTACCAAATACGAACAGGAAAAGAGGTAATAGACCTTGTTTTGGCCAAAGCAGTATGTCAGTAGGCTGTAAATCAAGCCTATTCAAAACGAGCCCTTGTTTTTAGAAAATATTTGCCAGCTTTCAGTGTTTAAATAACCTGTGTGTTGCTGGAAGGAAAGGGAGAAATTGCCAGCAAGAGATTCATTTACAGAAATATTTTCTCTAGAGTTTGTCTTTTTTTGATAGGTTGTTTCTCCCCACTGTTGTGAAAAATCTACTGAAAGCAAATTGCTGTTATGTTCTGTGTGTCAATTAGTACGTAATCCCACTGTTTCTGAAGTTCCATGTTGGTAGCTGCTGTAATCATGTGGGTAAACAGTGAAATAGGTTAATCATAAGTAATGATGCCTGTAAAGCAGGTGATGTGTTGTAGACTGACTGGTTACTTCAGGGTCAATTTTACATTGGAGAAAGGGGAGGGGTTTCTTTATCTGTCATTCTTGCTGGGTTTTACTGATACTACTCACAGCTGCCTGTTGTTCTGTTTTGTGGGAGGAGAGGATAATGCTGAGAAACCACAAACTTGAATTAAAACCCACCATTTAAGTGTGACGACATTTCATTTCCTCTGGATTGGAGAATTCTTTGTGATGGTGGGGGCAGAGAACAATTAACTTGGATGCAGATTCTGCCTCTGAATTGAAGTTACCTCAGCACCAGTCCTAATAGATCTATTTACTTGCAGATGAAAGAACTGATTAATGGAAAAAAATGAAGAAATCATTGATTCAGGTTTTCAGTGTGTGCCTCATACATAGAAGTAATCTCTCTGGCAACAGCTGTTGCAAGTTTTTTCAACATCTAGTAAGAATAAAACTTATTCACCAAACGCTGTAAGTGCACGTTGTAGCTGGTACTGGCAGTGTTCCAGGTATTACTGTGCTTTAATGAGAGTAAAATTGCCTGTTGCAAAAGATAGTTATATTAAAAAAAAAAAAGATGGATTGATGCCAGCACTGTCTCAGAATTGCATACTTTTGAGGATGTGATTAGCGATGCTGTGGGTTTTTTTTTAATAGCAACGATGATATGGCTAGTGAACATGGCTGAGGAAGGTAAAGAAGCCCAACGGAAAGCTTCCAAAAACTCCACTTACGATAAACAAGGTGAGTTTTAATTTGACAAGCCTTCATCGTTGTCTTTTTATTGGAATACATGTTTATGGAGACTTGTCTTTTAGCATTCTATGTGTCCTGGTTGCTGTAGAAGGGTGAAAGCATGGAGGCCTCATTAGGAATGATGAATCTGTCAGGACTTCAAAAATTGCTCACTTTTTGGGCAGTTAATGTTCTTGCATTCATTTGTCTGGGATCCAGGGTGTTGGTGGTGAAATGACGCTCAGTAGACAACTGTTGATTGAGCTCAATTGCTTGTCAGGTTGGGATGACGCGAACTCATTTATATGTGTATTAAACAGAAATGTGCCTGGCCCTCTTGGCTATGCAGCTAGTGTTCAGAAACATGAGGTTGGTTTGTTTACGTGTATTATTAAAGCAGAGCAGAGTTTCTGAATTTTACGTGCTTGAAGGTGTGTTTGTGTGTATATGTAACTTTCAGTAAAGTTTTCTATTTTACTGGAAAATAAAGCTGCCAACAGTGCCTAAAGAAGCTAATGAAATATTAGATGAGAGATTTATTCCTTCAACTGTAATCTTTAAATTAGGTCACCATGGAAATTCCACTTGGTTATATTGAAGTACTCCTGAATACTAGCAAGTACAAAATGTTGGTGCTGTGACTGCAGAGTACGCTTTGACCCCTGAATGTTTATATAAGTGCTAAAATCCTAAGTGAGAATGTCTTGTAATGGTGTATGCCAATGTTAGATGTCACTGAATATTATGCAATACCTCCTTTTTCCCCCCATTCTTCTATGATCTTACATGTGGAGAGGTTATCACGTTTCAGGAGACACATTTTTGAAGTAGACCTTAAATGCCTTTCTTCCTTTGAGCTCCGGCAAACCAGACTCAGAATGAAGACGCTGAAGCAGATGACGGTGGCTTTAGTCAGGAATGGCAGCAACAAAGAGACAATAGAATAGGACCCATTGAATCCACACCTGAATCGCGTGCTGCTGTCCAGGCTCTACCCAGTAACTCTCAAACCAGTGAAGACCCCGAAGAACGTGAGTATGGAGTACTGTGTCTGAAAGACTTGGTAAATCTGAAGCTAGTTAGTCTTAGTCATCCTGGCTGCATGGATACAGTGAGCTGATAGCAAGCTGAAGAGCTGCTCTTGCTCATGTTCAATACTGACATGCCCCGCAGAAATAGATGGGGTTGCTTTTTGTTAGCTTTTGGGTTTGGTGCAAGAGTGAGTAATGTTGGCCAAACTGATCTTCTGTTTGATACACAGACTCAAAACTCTAATAGCACAAGCTATTTTCAGACCACTGTACAGTCAGTTGCATCAGCTTCTGTCTTTTTCAGAGTGTTGTGCCATGTATCACCTCTTTTGGATTTTAGGCCTGTAAATGGAGTCGTTAACTTATTTTGCCTCAAGATTAAAGGGCTATAATCCACTGCACAATACTTACTTAAAACCCAGTTGGGGACTGAAACAAATGGGGAACACCCTGGGCTTGCTTATTTTTCTCCAGCATCTCGCTGAGGTGCAGTATCTTTGGAGAGCACGTGACATCAATACTCAGATACCCGTTTTAACAGAATCATGATTTCAAGTTGGAGTTTAAACCGGTGTTAGGTTTGCAAAGCTCTCAGATTAGGGTCTGCCTGCCTGATAAACTGCTCTCGCATGTGATGCTGACATATTTGGCAGGTGCAACTGCTTCCTCTGATTCTCAGGTGCTCCTCTGTTTAAAAATAGAGACTTCTACTTTAAGAACAATTTTAGAATTTACTTCGTCTCCAGAATTTCAAGTTCAGGGTGTGTTACAAATCCATTTTCATTTGTAGAGCTTAGAAAAATAACACTAAGATGCAAAAAATTTAGGAATTGGGCTATTTTAGTTAACTGGTTAACTAAAACTCTTGTCTGGCCAGAGGAATAATTTTCTCCTTCCTGTATTCCTACAGCAAATAGTAATGACAGATGTGCAGTGATCCAGTCAGACTTGTCAGGCAGCATTAGCTTACAAGAAGTTTGGAGGGGTTATTAAAGATCTGTAGAGTTTGCTTGTGTGGAAAGAGTTATGTAGCAGTTGCCTTTGCTTACTGTTCTGTCATGCTGAAAGCAAGCATCCAAGTTTTGTTGCAGCAATTAAAGGGTGTTTTAGTGCTTAACACCCCTTTGTGAATGCACTGTTCTAGACCATATATTGGAGGCCTGCTGAAAGAGAAGGGTTTGCCTTTTTTGTTTTCTCTTTTTTTTTTTTCCTTTTTTGCTTTTCTTTTTTCCCAATGATAACCAGGCATACTCATCTGTTTTGATGCCCTGAGTTCCTCTCAGAACTCTAAAGCGAGTTTTGGACTGGACTGTAATCAGGTGACAAAGATAGCCCACGTGAAAAGAGCTGATGACCTGATGTTGGCCCCTCTGCCTTAATATCTTGGACAAAAAGCTCAGAAAAGTGAACTGGTGTTCAGGAAATCTTTGTTATTTTGTTTGCAGAAATAATTGAGTATTATGCTCCCAGAATTGTTGCTAAGATGGTGATTACTATTTAACAGAGTAAGACGTTAACTCACGAGTTTTCCTAAACCTTGCATCTTTGACTAAATATGTTGATTTTTTGGCTCTGTGATATAGTCTGTAAGTGCACGCAAATGCTTTTTAGAAACACCCTAGTAAGAGTTCTGTAGGAAAATAGAGGGGGCAGTGGAATATCTTACTGGCTGTAGGTTTCTTACTGGTAAAACCATCATCATCTGCAAGTGACGTATTTGTTTTCCCCCTCCCTTGGTTCAGCTTGAAGGAATTAAATATTCTGACATGACAAATACATGACAACCAAAAGTGGACTTCTCCCCAGGAAATGTAATTACAAATATCTGAGTTTGTATATACTGCATGTGTGTGTGCAGGAGACCAGGAATATAGAGAAATTCTAATTATAGGATGATTGAAGTGGTGTAATGTTTCCAGGCTATCTTATTTCACAAGAATTTATCACTCGATTTAGGAATGGTACGTGTTTTGAAAATGAAATGTTCTTGTTAGCAGGTCTGGTTGATACTTGATGTAGATCTGTATTATTCTCTGACAATTACTGATACGTAGTATTAGTCGACTGTCTGATACTAATGCTGCCACATATTCACCTTTGCAGGAGGAGTAAAGCTAGGCTTAGGAGACTTCATTTTCTACAGTGTCCTTGTTGGCAAAGCCTCTGCAACAGCAAGTGGGGACTGGAATACAACTTTAGCATGTTTCGTCGCCATATTAATTGTGAGTATAACGTAATAATAGGGATGGTTTCTCTGTTCATCACAGACAAAGTCATAACTGCTACGCTTTTTCTTTAGAATTTGTTTATTTGGTGGCCTGACTGAAAACTGATGAGGGCTTCAGCTGTGAATTTCATTGGCTCTATATCCATCACTTATACCTTTAGTTTAGGAATGCATTAACTGTATCTTGTATTTCTGTGGTGTTAGTGTTTATATATATATAATACTTTGCTTGTCCAAGTTCCCTGATTTCTTGCTGTGTTTTTATTTGTGGTGTTTTGTGGTTTTTTTTCTTCCCCTCAGGGTCTGTGCCTTACACTTCTGCTTCTTGCCATCTTTAAGAAGGCCTTACCAGCGCTTCCAATCTCCATAACCTTTGGGCTAGTTTTTTACTTTGCTACAGACAACTTGGTGCAACCCTTTATGGACCAGCTAGCGTTCCATCAGTTTTATATCTAGAACACTTGATGCTGGTATTCTGTGGATATCTGTAGTGAACCTGGAAGGAGGAAAAATGTTTTTCCCTCAGTTCTCAAGTGAGACTGAAGTTTAATAAACAAGATTCCAAGCCTGAATCATTACAACGTCGTCTGATGGCTTCTGGCTTTTGCTGGTTGTTGGGGTTTTTTTGTTCCTGAGACAACTGCTGCACTGGGCACCATATAATTTTTCCTGTGTGAAAGTGGCTTCTTCCTGATGGCTGGTCTAAACCGGGTGCTATTATATCAGAGGTACTCTGATATACATATCTCTGGTAAGGACCACCTGTGTGAAAATAGCTAATGCTTCCACCAGCAATGTGATCTCTTACCACAGGTTGATTATTTTCACAGCATTAAGGGTGCTCAGGACTTCCTTGATGTTAACAGAGGAAGCTGACAAATCACATGGAACTGGTCCCTGTAACCGCTTGAAGAGTGAGAACCCATTTCAGACTTCTTCAGCAGTGATTTTTTTGACAGTGGAGTCCTGACTCTGCTTTGTGTAATGAGAAAGGACTTTGTAGCAATTCGACAAAGGGAGAAAGTACTGTCACTCTGCGAGTGCTCCACCACTTCATAGCCTCTGTGCCTGAGTGTGCTTGGTTTAGTAAACTTAAAAGCTTTTTTTTTTTTTTTTT